CTGTGCATGCCTATAACATATCCTTATTCTCAGTTGCCTTCTGTCAGCCTTGTCTAAAAGTACATTTCTCTTTTTTTCCCCATCCCCTTTACAGCCCAAGAAACTAGGGAGGGTCCCTTCCCCTAAGCTGCCTGCCCTACCCACATTCCTGTTGCGGATTATCTGATTGTTCTCTTGACTATGTCTCTTCTTCCTGTCTCTCAAGGTTATTGCCATGTACTATTACACCTTCCCATAGTGTAATTAGTAATTCTCTCTGTTTAGCATTATTCCACTAAATTCTGCATGAATCAGAATGTAAGAGTATTTTTTTTATTAAAAAGTTTTTATTTTCCATTTATTCATACAAAATAAAATAAATTCCTAACCATTGGTACCGCCTGCCCATTCCCCCCAGGCTGCGTCCACCCTCTCTAATCCTTCCCTACTTCCCTCCTCTTTCTCCCCTCCCCTCCTCCTCTAACCATCCTACTTCCTCCCTACTCCTTCCTCCCCTCTCATCCCTCTCACACATATGAACGCAGCATAGGGGAAATGCCCAAGCATTTACCATAACTATATTATCATTACCCACCCACCCACCCACAGAGTATTTTTTATATTGTGTCTAATTTACATATCCAAAGATTCTGACCTTTAAATACAGCTCTGAAGAGAACTAGAGAATAAGAATGTGTGCAGGCATGTATGAAAGAGAGAAATAGACAAGTGGTATGAAAATGAACAGCTACCTATGACTCCAGCAATAACCTTGAACACTCTAGGCTTTCTTTGTTCCATTGTAAACCTTCTATAACTCTCCATGGGCCTCCCTGGCAGCCGTTGCTAACAAACCCAGAGCAGCAGGATTGTGGGAGGAACAGGTGCTCTAGTTGGTCACTGCTGGGTCTCCTGCTGTGTAAAGTGCATAAATGGCACTGCTGCTCCTTCCCCAACAATCTTTAATCAAGTCACCTACTTGTTGAGATTTAATTGTTAGATTCTCTTATGACTGTAGATCTGGTTTTAAATTCTGGCAATACTGTACACCTTCAGCTAAGGTAGAAAGGCCACTAATTTTGCTAGTGTTACTCAAGGAGCTATGTCATGTTCCCCACCCACCCAGGAATCAGTGGTGCATATCAGTTTTCATATATTAATCTTTGGCAAAGCTTCTCCTGAGATGACACACTTTTAGCTGCAAAGGCAAGCTGAATTGTTGAATAATCCTTCATTCCAAAAGAAACTCCTTACATAAGAAAAAAAAAACATTTTGGAGGAAAAGGTATTGTGAATAGAAGACCCCACCCCCGTGGAAGGCAGGTTAAAGTCCTCTTAGGGGATAAATCTGGAAACTCCACCACCAACCCAGCCATGGAGTCAAGGACCTCAGACAAAAATATTGCTAAAGTAGCAACAGTCCCAACTGATCCTTAGAACCCAGCTTAATAATTATAGGAGCTATGGTGGTGCAGTGCTTAAAATGCAGTATTGGAGGCTAACTCTGCCTACAGCCAGGAATTCAGTGCAGTTCTTGAGAGCAGCCAACCTCCTGTCTTCTATCATATCTCACCCTACCCATCACTATAGAGATGCTATAGCCCACCCTCATCCCACCAGAGATTTCTCTTCTGCCCTGCTCCAATTGGTCCATATCCAAGCCCACATACAATGCATTTTACTCATGCAAACAACAATCAATTAGATGACCCCCTAAGACCTAAATCACTTCTGCAATGCACTCAGTGTTACAAGACAACCAGAGGCCCTCCCTCTAACTCAATATTTCATTCAACACCTTCAACCAATTCCCTCTCACTGGTAGATATCCCGTCAGGCTCAACTCCAGACCATCTTAATTCTTAAAAGTCCTACTCTTCATAATGTACAGTGAAATTGCAGTGACTAAGAACAAATATAAAAATAAACTATAGGGACCATAGTTAGAATCTAATTCTATTTAGCCACATATTCATAGGAGAATATTTTTATATTTATGGAGGTACATGTTCCATATTTGGTATTATAATCAATAGTGTAGCAGGGAGGACAAAGAAACATTATTTTTGTGCTTTGAGTCTGAAAGATGACTATAATTTGTAAGTAATCTCAAATCAAAAATCTTGGGTGGAATTTGAGTGGGCTGTCTTCCTTTATGAAGTTGTTGGGGAAAATATGACTTTATGACAAAATTTCTGGTCAAAATAGCATAGATCTGAATACATTCTGAAAAAAACGTTTTCTATCCAAGTTGTCATGATCTCCTTACAAGGGCACATTGTGGCTGTAGTCTTGATTACTCTGTCTCTGTGCATATGAACATACAGAAAACATGTTGCAGCAGCCTGTCAGAACCATTAAAGACATTTTCCCTTCTTTTGTTCACTCTGGGATGAGCCAGAGCTGGGTTTGTCTATTCCCATTACAATCACACGTGTGCCTTTAGGCATTTGCAGAGGCCCTTTCCTGTCTCACTCAGGGTAACTTGGCAACCTATTCTGCCCTAGGCTCAAAAACATTTCTCAGTGTTGACTTCTTCTGAGAGGTTCCTGCATTTTCTGAGAAGAAATGCTATCAGATCACCTTATACAGTACTATGCATTAGAGATTATTTGCCCAAATCAATAACTACAATGTATAGTAAAAAGATATAGTCTGTTTGATGACCTTCTAGCAATTTCTTGCACATATTCATGTAGTTTTCTTAGCGGTGATCCAGAAATGGTTTCTAATCCCATATTTCTAGGATTTTTAATTATCCTTTATAGCCTAAATCCTGCAATGATCTTCCATTCAAGTACTAAGCAGGCTGGATTTTGCATTGCTTTTTGAGATTGATCAAGTTTGACTAAGTGATGCCATTTAGCTGGACTAGCTATAATGGAGCAAATAAATATGGCTGCACCTCACCACTGCAATGGTAGCAAGTGGCAAGGGAAGAGACCTTTCCTATGGAAAAGTTGATCTTTTCTCTTCTAAGGAAAGTCTCCCCATTTGTACCAATTGTTCCAATTTAGGAAGTTTTGCTGATAATGACTGGGTTCTCATACCACATTAAGGTAAAATATGGTTATTTGGTTTTATTTATTACATTTACATGGCATACTTTACAGAAGAACTCAAGGAAACATCATGCTCCCTCTTCCTATTTTTCCCACAACAGCAACTTTGAGGGGTCCTTGATGCTCACTGACCTCAGTTGTTGTTGTTTTTCTTTTGCAGAGATTTCATTACCCAAACTAGGTAAACATCATCAGTGCTAGTGAAGAGTGGAGTTTGCTCCCAGTTTATATTCTAGTGGCTTGCCCTGTCAGTGTTGGTTGGGATGGTCTTAGAGGTTCTTTGGTTGGGCTGTTTACTGCTGGCTTATTTGGCAGTTCTTTGGTTGGGGTATTCTTTTTATTTGTTTACTAAACTGGGAGAAAACTCCACTCCTTACTAGCACTTACCATGTTACCTAGTTTGGGTAATGAAACATCTGCAAGAAAATAACCAAGCTCAGAGAATACCAGGACCCCTCATTTCAACATTGAGCTACAGATATTATCTTTTATTGGTAACAGCAACCTTGTCAGAGAAGTTGGACTAAGAGATTGACTAATCCAAAGACACCCCAATGAACTTCCATGGCTGAGGAGACTAAACCTGAGTCTCCTGCTCCTACTGTAAAACTTTTACCTCTACACAGTATTAGCTTGCTAAGTTCTGGCTTACTATAATGAGTCAACTCAGACAATGAGGTTTGTAAAACAATATTCATAATTTAGTGCAAGCTTGAACACTGTGAATTTACTAATCAAAATGGCTTTTATACACACACTAAGCCCCATTTTATGAGGAAAACACTGTGGACTCCCAATTCTGCCAATTAGAAGCAGGGCACTATGCCACTTTTATGAAGGACTTTCAAGAATTGCTTTACTTGAATGTTTGAAACCATGTTTTCTTCTGAGATCATAAGAAATTGTGAAAAAAAAGTTTCTTCTAGACGATTTGCTTATTTGCGGGATTCAACAGTGGGAGCAGATAGTCCTTCACCTTCAACCCTCCATTTTTACAAAGTTCAGTATCTTCTAAAACTACTAATTAACTTTCAGAAAAAAAATAGAATCAGGTTCTTTGCATATTTTTGAAGAATTTAAGAAATTAAGATTAAAATTGGTATTCACTTTGTAGTGGTGAGAGTGGGAAAGAGGGAGGGAAGATGTTATTGAAAAAGATATAATTCAAATAGCAAGATTTTTTTCTTTAAATATTCTAAATATATTGATTGAATACATGTCAATATTTTTAAAATAAGATATTGGGCGAATTACTTTTACCTTACACTTGTTATTCTAAGTGAAAAGCCAAAGAAATACTGCCTTTATATCCCATTTTCTTTCCAGTATTTTGGGAGTCAGGCACTTATTCCTTCTTAGAGTCAATCATTGAACTCCCTCTTGCAATGCAATAAAGTAACTTTCATTCACTCCCTTCTGTTTAGCAGATTGCAGGGTAGAACAAGGGGCAGGGGAGGATCCCAAAGCTTTGACAGATGGTCCTGAGTGCTTGACTCCTGCTGAGCCCAGCAGGGCCAGGGCTTTAACACGGTCAGAAGGAGTTCTGCTTATGAGGTGAATAACAAATGTGGTCTGCCAGACTTTTTCATATAGAAAGCCTAGCATTGGACATGTCACTTCTGGGGTTTCTTCAGTATGATTGGAGAGCTTCAGAAATTTCAAAAAGCATTTGGCTGCCCTAGGAAGTGGGCAAAGGCTTTGCTGCCCGAGAAATAAGTAGGAAATTGAAATCAAGAAAGCGGGAGGAGCTCCAGTGAACATAGAAATAATAAAGTTTTGCTCTTTAGTAAGCACCAGTGAGTGAAGACTACAGAGGATTCCATTTCAGCGAAAATCTACAAGTAGAATAGATGTTGTCTAGTTTTTCTTTTTTGGGGGGGGGGAATGACCTTACCAAAAGCTAGCAAAAAATTGACTGTAAAATGCCACTTAGGTGAATTTTTGCTGTTTACTTCTCAGCTGGAAACCTGTTGATATTTTTCCCCTTCTCTATAAGCCATGTCCCTCACCTGTTAATCCATGGGTATGTTTGAATCCAGGAGCATTACAAACAAATATTTTCGGGTAAGCATAACACTTTTTATTATCTGTTAATCATTGTTTGTTAACTAGTGGCAATCATTTTTGTAAGTCATTGCTGATTATAATCTGCCTGATGGTAAGAGCTGTTGGTCCCAGACAAGACAAAATATGTGTTATATTGGGTGTCCAACATATAGGAAAGTCGATATGGATTTGAGAATATTAGTGATCCCAGCTGACTCAATGGGGCTGCCTGCAAATTTGAAGGGGTGTGTGTGTGTGTGTGTGTGTGTGTGTGTGTGCACGCATGTTCGTGCATGCTGAAGTGGGGGGGGTGCTAAGAGCTGTCACTAGTCTCAGATTTATGTAACATTTTGAACATTCACAAGATTCATCAAGGATTGCTAATACTCAGCATTAGAACATTAAAGACCAAATTTTGTTTTAATTTAACCATTTCATTAATCTTATAATAATCATAAGAGTCAGCCAATGCTCACAATAAATTGCTAATTATGTAACGTTATATCCTGATAAAAAGTACTTTGATTACACTCTTAATTTTTGTTCAGCTTTACTGGTGTTTCTTTGCTTCTGTATCTACAGGTTTAGTATAAAAGATGGCAAACTGCTTAGGACAAAAGTTTAAATATAGTTTTAGTTGTGCTGAGAACTGTGTCATTGAAAACAAAATTTAAACGTGACATATAATCCCACTGGTTTCAATGGGACTATTTTAAGTAATTAAATTCCAATCAACAATTCACAGCTTGTTTTATTAATTTCAACAAATGTAGTATTTAAGGTGAGATATAATCTAGCATACATTATGTAGAAATGGAGGCAATGGAGAAATAAACACATTCTTGAATATTTCTTATTCAAGAGAGCTTTAAAACAGAATCAAAATAAAACAGTAGCAATGTAATTACACTTTAGATTTCTTATTATAAAAAAACCAAATATGAAAATTCAGTGTCTAAAGTGCAAGAAAGAATGAAATCCTGTTTCTAAAACTATTCAATTTGTCATTTATCGAAATGATTTTTTTAAAAAAAGTTAAATTAAAAAAAACAGAATCCTACAAATCTATACTAAATGTAGAATCCTATAACAATTATATGCTCCAGGGAGGCCATCTGGTGGCAGCAGAGTGAGTTTAAGGGGGGAAAAAAACTCTTTTATGCCCTTAAGGCTGGAGTGTCAAACTCGCAACGTCACGTGACGTGTCACAATGGATCGCAATTTTTTTTCCATTGCCGGCAATGGGGTGGGCACAGTTTTGCCATGACGCATCCAGCCCGTGGACCGGCAGTTTGACACCCCTGCCTTAAGGAATCAGCCATCTCAGTTTTGTGATGAAACATCCCTCTTGGGGGTAGCAAGCTGCAAGTTTAAATTTCAGCTTTGTCTGATGAAAAAAGTCCCTGGCAGCCAGGGAGAAGACTACTTTTTTTTTTTTTTTTGAGATTCTGCTGAAGACTGAAAAGGCCCTGCCGCATCATTTCAGATTCTGCTGGAATGGGTGTGGTGTTTGATAGTTGCATTGTTATTGCTTGAAGTTTTATTTTTTTAAAAAAAAAATGCATTTTTGTAAAATGATTGAGTTGGGATATTTTAATTAACACAGAGTAATCAGAAAGTCTTTTACTTGTTCTATAAAAAGTCAGAGGTATGGTTGGCAGAAAGGTAGGAAAAGTCCTTTGGATAGCTATTTCCTAGGGCAGCAAATTCAGAAACAGCTAAATTGTCAATGTTTGCTTATGTTCGTTTTTAAATGAAGCCCCCTTAGCCTTCTTCTTCGTTCCATGTCTATGTTAATGGATGCATCATTCCCATCCAGCAAACTGTTCATAATGCAGATCAGGGGAGGGAGGTACTGAAAGGATACAAAAAACAGAATAACAGATTTGGAAGAGATCTTAGAGGTCTTCTAGTCCCACCCACTCCCATACCATTTCAGACAAATGGCTGTTCAATTTCTTCTTTAAAACCTCCAGTAATGGAGCACCCACAACTTCTGGAGGCAAGTCATTCCATTGATTAATTGTTCTCACAGTCAGGAAATTACTCTTTAGTTCTAAGTTGATTCTCTCCTTGATTGGTTTCCATCTACCACTGCTACCATTTCCTTCTTTTTATTAAAATATACTTACCCAATTCCTGTAATTGTTCTTCCTAATCATCTTTGGTGCTGTTTTTACATTCTTTCTAGAGTCTCAACATCTTTTTATATCTGAACCACATTTCATAAACCTTACCACAGCTATATAAAATACAAACATTCTCTTGCTTCCTCTCTACATCATATCTAGCTCAACTCCTTGATTCCTTACCCCCATTTTCTCCAATCATGTAAAGAGATATGTAATATATATCCTTTCTTATCACCTTTTCCCCATTTCGGCCTGTTATCTTTGTTTGATGTTTGTTGATGTTTCATAAATATCAAGCTGCATTTTCTGCAAGCTGAACTGAATGGCCTGTATGCTTGCTCTGAGCTGGATGTGGGAGCTGTTTGGGAGTCTAGTGTGTGCTAACCAAATTGGAAATTACATATTTTCCAACACTTGTGATATCCTATTATTCCCTCCATCTTCTCTGTGTTCTCCCTTCTCTGTTTTCTTTGTCTGACTCTTCAGCTTTTGTCACCCCATTACCCGGGTCTCTCTCTTGTCCTCCCTCCAAGTCTGTCCCATTTTTGTCCAATTGCTTGTGTTTATACTCCCCTGATCCCAAGTCTAGGGTCCAGCCTTCCTACTCCTCTTCTTCTACCTCTCAAATAAATAAACTTTTTCCCATTGTATTTAATATGTCATGGCCAAGTTTCCAATGGGGCCTGTTTTTAGAAAATTCCCAGATGGTAGTTTTGCTTCTCCCAGACCTTAGTATTCCCTGAAGAAGATATCAAAATAGCTTTATTTTTCCATTTCTGTTTTTTTTTATTCAGACAGGTTTTAAGTGTCATGTTGCAGAAGTTACTAGTAGGTGTTCTTTATATTTTTTTGACAGGGTTTACATATACGTGTGCATTTTATCTTACATTTTATGGCACAAGCCAGTTTGGCCATTATGTTGCACATGGGTTGAAATGATTAATCAGTGATATCACCATTGCCTGGCAGGGGGGATACCCATTTATAGAAGCTGGAGCAAAAGTTGAGAGCTCACCCTCTCTCATAGCAGAACTTGGATCTCAAACACAGGCTTGCTAACCTCCAACCCAGTGTCCATGAGAGCTACTGTGCTCCTTTGACCATTAGTTATAAGAGAATGATAGAGCATAAAGGTCTAAGAACAAAAATAATATATCCTTCAACACAAATAGGCCACTCCAAGGTATGAGGGACAACAACTTCTCTCTACCTTTTTCTCTTAATGGGTTATTCCACATGCACACACTGAATTCTTTATGCACAGCCTGGTTTTTCCTTGAAAGCAAAACTTGATGGCAGGTGTTGTTTGGTTCAAAAGCAGATCTCTGAGGTTCTATCTGTAGTGCTTGCTTTTCCATTGCTCCAAGTTACTTCTTCATGGATGGCAAGGAGAAATTAAGCACTTCGTCTTTCCTTCAGGATTCAAAGAGTGGTTGCAGAGAAGACATCAAAAACAAAGGTGTCTTCCCTTTCATAGCCACAGGGCAGATCATAAGAGGACAAATTCAAAACACCTTCTCCATGGTGGTGAATTGAATCACCTTCTCCCTGGTGGTGCATTCAGTTGAATCACCTTCTCCATGGTGGTGCATTCATATTGCTGTGCCAATAAAAGGGGGATGGGAAATTTCATGGGGAAATGAATGAACAGGGATATAATCAAAGCCGCATACTCTCCTGTTCACACAAATCCATATCTCCAAATGCATTATGTATTAACATATATCTTAGCATGACTTCATTTTCCTATTCTTCTACCACACAATTTGCTTTCTTGCATTCTTCTATCACTCCATTCATCCACCCCTTCCCCCTTTTTTCTCTATTCCTATTTTACATTTTCTCCAATAACTCACTGATCAGATTCATATATCATGCAGAAGAAAAGTAATTTTAAACTTGATTTGAAAAAGAACAAAATTGATGAGTTCACACAATACTAAGCCATAAGCCATGGTTTAGAAACTGCAGTGGCTGATTCAAACACACTATAGCAAAATGAATACAATATAGTAATCCAATTTGTTTAGTCATAATTTATTAACTAAATCACTGTAAATTAGATTTGTGGTACAAAACTATAATGGCCGGATTCATCCAATACATAAAACCAAACCCCTCAAAAACTCTAACTCACCATTTAACCATATTGCATCTGCAAATCATGTCTGAATTCTTATCTTTCTTCCATTTTTGCTGCTCAGCTGGCCTGGATGAAACACTAGAGAAGCAGATTCAAGAGTATCTGCAGGTTATCGTTAAAAAAAGTCAAGATAGTGGCTGCAACCCTGTGATCCAAACTCTGCCTATTTCTTACACGCATCCTGTGTGGAACACATACAGTATATATAATAATAATAGTAAAGTTGGAAGGGACCTTGGAGGTCATCTAGTCCAACCCCCTGCTTGGGCAGGAAACCCTACACCATTTTGGACAAATGGCTGTCCAGTCTCTTCTTAAAAACTTCCAGTGTTGGAGTATTTACTGCTTCTGGAGGCAGGCTGTTCCACTGATTAATTGTTCTCACTGTCAGGAAGTTTCTCCTTAGTTCTAGGTTGCTTCTCTCCTTGATTAGTTTCCACCCGTTGCTTCTTGTCCTGCCTTCAGGTGCTTTGGAAAATAGCTTGATTCCCTCTTCTTTATGGCAGCCCCTGAGATATTGGAATACTGCTATCATGTCCCCCCTTGTCCTTCTCTTCGTTAAACTAGACATACCCAATTCTAGCAACCGTTCCTTATATGTTTTAGCCTCCAGTCCCCTAATCATCTTTGTTGCTCTTCTCTGTACTCTTTCTAGAGTCTCAACATCTTTTTTACATCGTGGTGACCAAAACTGGATGCAGTATTCCAAATGTGGCCTTACCAAGGCATTAAAGAGTGGTATT